TAGTAGTGTTTTTTGCTAATAGGTAGCTAAGGTTAATACTTAGTAACAGTAAAGTAAGTCTTGTTAGTAATCTTGTTGGTCTATTAGTGTCTAGTAATTAGTTAGGTACGTCTAGGCGTAGATAGCTTTATAGCTTTATAACAGAAAAATAATCTAAGAGTTACTTATAAGAGAGTGAATTATGAAGTTGATTACTAAAGAGCTATAGAAGGTATCTAGTCTAGTTAGAATAATTGTCTTTATATCCTATTATTGCCTTGTTAGGACTGATCTCCTGAAGTTAGTCCTTGATGAGGACTAATCCTTAGTATATTAGTCCTAGGTTATAAACTGCTTATCTATTGTTAGTCCTTCTTATCTTTATATAACTTTCCTTAGTTCTTTTGTTCTAAGGGGAGATTAATGTGTTCCTGTGTTATTCTATATATAACCTTGTCTTATAACCGCTAGGTGCCTGTGGGGTAACCCTGGTTATGTTATGCTTGTTGGGTCGTAACACTTAAGTATTTGGTTAATTTTTTTAGTTTATTTGTTAGTTTATAGGTAAAAAGTAGTTAATAGCTTATAATTAGCTTTTAGTTATAAAATCAGAGATTTTTAAAACTTAGATATAAATAGTTTGTTTTTATTAGATATAATTTCTTTAAGTAATCTATAGTTATTAATAATATATTTTAAAAACGTATATATTAAGTCTTTTATTATATTTAACTTTAAGTATAAGATAAAGTATATATATTTTATAAGTTAATTAATAATAACTAATATATTATTATAATAGGTTTTTATAAGTAGTTTTTTTAACTTAGAGAGTTTAATAATAAAGTTTAAAGAGATTAAGTACTAGGCTTCTAGTAGTACTAGTAGTAGTTATAATTATTTATATAGTTTATATAGACTAAATTCTTTTTTTATATATATATTATAACGTACATACATAGTGAGTCGCCTATCATAGTAAGTTACCTACTTCCCCTTCCTTCTACACCTTCCCTTTTCCTCTTAGCTTTACTCTATATACAATAATGAGTTTTACTTTAAATAAAAGCCATATTCTCTTTTTGCTCTAAGCTATTAAAAAAGACCTAAAATTATCGATATAAAAGACTACTTTTATCTATAACGTCCTAAAAATAATACTTTACAATTAACGCATTAGATAACTACTATAACAAGAAACATAATTAAAATTAATAAAGATAACTAAGCTAGAAGAAATAGTGATTCTTAAATAAGTTATTAATTTAATTAATTAAAGATTTCTACTATAACTTAATAATATATAAGATATAGCTAATTACCTCTTTAATAAACGCAACATAATATGTATTAGACCCTAATAAGTAAAGAACTTTATATAACGCTAACTATAACTTAAGACATATTTTTAATATAAAATTAACTATTAAAGGGTATTAGCTAAGGATCTTATAATTATATAAGCCTAGTTTACTTTTATATAAAATATAATTATAAAGTATAAAATCTATAATAATAATATTTATAATTTTAATAAGACAGGCTTCTTAATAGGAATACTATTATACACAAAAGTTGTTACAACTTCTAACTATAAGAAAAGGCCTTATATAAAGTAGCCTAGTAATTACAAATAGGTTTCTATTATTCAGGGCATATATATAGATAACTAGGTGTTACCTTTGTATATTATTATTAAAGGCAAATATTACCTCTTCTCTTAGTATACTAATAGCTAATTCTTACCTTAATAGCATGTCCACTTTAGTAAAAATAAATAAACTATAAATAAGATTAGCCTAGATTAGTTATAGTATTTTAAAAAATACATAAAGTCTTATATAAAGGGTATTAAGTAGCTCTTAATCCTTAATAGCTATAATAGCTATAAGTCTACTAAGTTTAATTCCCTTAGATACGTATAGTATCTAAGCGTATATCTAAGCGTATATCTAAGCGCTAAGAGGTACTTATATGTTTCTTATGTATGTATATATATGCTTATATATGCCTATAGATAGGTATAAGCGCCGGTATATATAATGCTTAGAAGTATATACGTTTATATATAGTAGACTAAATTAGTTTACAGTAGTGTGTATTAGTATAGTTATATATAGTAATATATACTTTTATAGGTTATTTTTTAAGAAGAATCTAGAAAAAATAACTATGTATTTATAAGACTTTTAGTTATAGAGTTATAAAGAGATTTATATATAAGAGTTATAAGAATTTTACTTCTTAATTCTTAGTATAACTATATTATTATAAAACTAAATAAACTAAAATATAAAATTAAATTAATTACTAGTAAATAAATAAAAAATAAAAAAATATAGTATTTTATTAAATAAAAAAGATATAAATATAAGAATAACTTATAAGAACTAATTAAGAACCTTTAATACTCTTAATAGCTACTTTAAAACTATTATAACTTATAGATACTTTAGAACTAGACGCTTATACTAATAGCCTTAAGTCTAAGAACTTATTACTAAGCTTATATAAGAACTAGTTTATATTATTAAGTACCTATATAAACTATAACTTTTTTATTATTCCTTATTTATAAGTATCTAAAGTTAACTTTAAGGCATTAAACTTATTAATTTCTTATATATTATAATAAAAAGTTTTAGCTTAATACTTATAAATAAGTTTCTAAGTTTTCTAAATTTTAAATAAGTAGCTAGTTATAATAGTTATTAAAGACTATAATTAAGTAAGCTTTTTATAAAGCCTTAAAAGCTTTTTACTTATTACCTCTTTTTTGTTATTTTACTTTTTTTATTAAATATTTAATTTTTATACTATAAATAAAAGTTAAATAAAAAAGATTATACCTAATTAAAAGATATATATAAATAAAAGCTATTAAAATACTATTATAAAGCTTTTTAGCTTTAATATAACTTTAATAATAATAAAACTTTTATTAAAATAATAAATAGCTTTTATATAAAAATAATAAATATAAAGTATATTAGTAATAATAAAATAAGCTTTAATAAACTCTAAAAGTATAAAACGCTTATAATTTTTTATTTTTATTTTTTAAGATTTTATTTTTAGTTTTAATTTTTTTACATAACTTAATATAATATTAGTATTATAAATAAATAAAGAAATAAATTTAATAATTCCTTAACTTAAAAAGAATAATTTATTTATAAAGTCTTAAAAATAAAACCTTTAAAGAAAAAACCTAATATTATAACTTAATAAGTATAATATAACTAAAGTTACCTTATAAGTACTTAATAGTTATAAAATAAAGTTATATATAAAATAATATAAAAATATATTAATTTTCTTTTTAAAATAAAAAAACTAAAAAAATTATATAAAAATAAAAAAAACTAATAATAAATAAGTAATCTATAACCTAAGACTAATATACTAAAGATTAGTCTTTATTAAAGACTAACTTTAAGAGATTAATCCTAATAAAGCAACAATAGGATATAAGAATAATTATTCTAACTAAACTAAATATCTTTTATAGCTCTTTAGTAATTAACTCTATAATTCACTCTCTTATAAGTAACTCTTAGATTATCCTTCTATTCTAAAGCTATGAAGCTATCTATACCTAGATATACCTGACTAATCACTAGACACCAATAAACCAGCAAGATTACTAATAAGACTTACTTTACTATTACTAAGTATTAACCTTAGCTACCTATTAGCAGAAAACACCACTGTTAAATATCTAACCATAATATTTAGGATAGTAATAATAAAAAATAAGAAGTTGTTTTAATTAATTTTATATATTATAGTTTAATTAACTTATATAAAAGATAAAAGGGTAAAGAAAAGTAGTTTACTTATTGTGTTAGCTTACTTACTATATAAGTATGTTACTAGTAATTAATTAATAAATCTAAGTAAATAATTACTACTAATAAGTTAATAAAATCAAAATAATAGTAGTTATATAAAACTAGACTTATATATAAAATAGCTTAGATAAGCTTTAAAACAAAGTTTTATAGCTTTTTAATAATTAACTTTATAATTTACTTTACTATAAGTAACTCTTAGATTATTCTTCTATTATAAAGCTATATAACCTACTTATACCTTATATACCTAATTAATTACTAAATACCTATTATAGTTAAATATTTAACAGTAGTGTTTTTTACTAATAGGTAACTAAAGTTAATACTTAATAACAGTAAAGTAAGTCTTATTAATAATCTTACTAGTCTATTAATATCTAGTAATTAGTTAAGTATATCTAAGTGTAAGTAGCTTATAGCTTTATAACAAAAAAATAATCTAAGAGTTATTTATAAAAGAGTAAATTATAAAGTTAATTACTAAAGAGTTATAAAAGGTTTTTATCTTCTTAAAATAAATATCCTTATATCTTAACTCTCTTTTTTAAATTATTTTTACTACTTATAATCCTAGGTAAAGGATTAGTCTTACTAGTTAGTAATCCTTACTAGAGGATCACATTAGATTACTAGTGATCCAACTGATCCGTCACATAACCTTCCCTAGTTCTTCCGTTCTAAGCCCAGTTCGTGCCGTTGGCCTGCATACTTGAATGTCTGGCTACCCTGTTGGCCCCTCCAGGGGTTCGCTTCAGGCTGCACTAGTCACCAACCGGATTTAGGTCGTAATAACGCCTACGACCTAGCCAGATTACCCATAAACCACACTTACTGTTACTAAGTATCGACCTTAGCTATCTATTAGCAGAAAACACCACTGTCAGATATCTGACCGTAACAGTAAAATACGTGTAAACCTTAACAGTTCTAAACTTTTAGGTTTAAGCTCTAATTTTAGAGTAACATAGCATAACACCTAGATGTAGAGACTATATATATAAAATATAAGTCATTTTATATACGCTATAATTTTCTTAGACTTTTAGTTAATAAGCTGACTTAAGATAAAGCTATGGTGAAAAAGAGTAGTTTTGGTGTGAAAGGGGTGCACACAAGGGTAGGGTGCCCAGAAGGGGATGACTTGACTTACTTGGATAATATGCTCTAATTGATTTGTTGAATAACTGCTCTGTCCTCGGAGACATTCGAACCCTTCAGTGCCGTCAACCACTTTAAGCCAATGGTCGTCTGTCTCGCTTTCCCTTCGAGAAAGGCTGTCTCAATGGCTTCGAGACTCTGGTTCCTCGTTTCGGACATACAAACCACGCCGACCAAAACAGAAATCAACGTGCAGCTACCGAAGAAAAAGTACGGACCGTAAGTGGACGCGTCCAGGAAGGGAGGTGTTGTTAAGGCCACAACAAAATTGGTTATCCAGTTGGCGCTCTGCCCTAGTGCGGCACCGCTAGATCTCACTTCGCGGGGCAGGCTTTCCACCAAGAACGCCTTGATGCATATAGCCCACGTCATGTTGAAAATGACAGTGAAAATATAGATGGAGACGATCACAACCCATCGTCCAGCCCCTGTGTCCGGATGTACCTGGTTAGCGGCGTACATAGATCCAATCAGAAACATTATAAAGATGATTCCAGCGCCGCCAATCAATGTAGCGGTTCGACGACCCCAGCTGTCCGCAAATATGGTAGCCGGGACGGTTACAGCCATGATAACTAACGCGGAGACTCCGGACGCCAAGAACGTAGCTTCTTCCGAGGCAACGCCAGCCTGCCGAAATAACAACGGGGCATAGTACAACACGCCATCAATACCAGAGAGTTGTTGTGAGGCCATGAGAAAACATCCAAAAGCGGTCCGAGAACAGAATGGAGATGAAAAAGCTCTCCTGAAGTCTTTGAACGTCTCTAGAATATTGTCGCGCATCCTTATATTTGAGCAGTGCACAGGAGCTTGCCCTGTTTGTGCCAGCATCTCTTGTTGCTCTTCGTTGCTGATGCCAAGTTGAGAGACCACCAAATGAGCTTTGTTGAACTGGCCCTTTGCAACCAGCCAGCGGGGAGACTGCGGGACGAATGTTGTTGTTGCAGCAAGGCCGAAGGCAAAAATCGATTGAATAGCCAGAGGAACACGCCAAGACGCCGAGGATTTCGCGATGCGCCCTGTGCCATAGCATGTGAAATAACCCGTTGCGAGACCAACGGTGATCATGAATTGCGAGAAAGCAACCCAGAAGCCGCGTACCTTTGCTGGTGTTATTTCGCAGATTTGGACAGCAACAGTGCTGGCGAATAGTCCCGTCCCGAGACCCTTTACGGCTCGACCAGTGATGAACATGGCAAGATGTACAGATCCGCACTCGATAGCTGCGCCGATTCCAAATACTGCAGCACCAGTCGATATTATGACAACTCGTCCGTGTTGGTCTGCCAAAGCGCCCGCAAGCAAGGCGCTCATAGCCCCGGTTATCAATAGTGTCGACACAATAGCACCGTGAACGGTCGATGAAAACTCGCCAAAAGATTCTTTGAACGTCGCCATGGCCGTGATTGACCCGATGCTACCGGTGTCGAGGCTGCAAATAGACAACAAGTTAATATTACGTTATTCTCTAACTTTGGAATGCAGTAGATTTGCACTAGAAGGCTTACCCCCAAAGTGACACAACAGCACCAGTAGCGATGCAAGCCTCCACATAAACCGGCGGCATTCTGAAGGTCGTATTATAGTGGCTCACTGTTTTTCAGTGTCTGATTAATTCGCAAAATTATGCGACCAGAGGCACAGTCGGAAATTGTCGTGCGCAGATGGGGATATTTAAAGCATGCTAGACTTCTGCAATCTTAGCCCAGTGTTTGTAGTGGCACTGCAAATCGAGTAATTAGGCTTGCGTTCCCCAGCTCATGAGGTACACAGGTGAACGGCCATCCGCAAGAGGGAAATCCGATCACGTTCCACAAAAACCACGGAAACCACACTCAGAGGGTGATGCGTTGGAGTTTTTGTTCAGCCTCATTCCATATTGGGCCATGCGAGTGATGGCTGATCGGCTAAGTTACCATATCCAGAGCCGCTCCATAAATGAGTGAATAAGCTCCACATGTCGGGGTTGCCCAATCCGGCTTAGTCGATCAAATTAGCATCAGAAGCCAATCAGGACCCAGTTTGAGGTGATTGCATGGTCGGCAAAATTTCCAGATGGAAGCGTTACTTGGCTCTAACAATCCTGCGCTACCTACCTTCAACACTAACGTGGAAAGGCCGAAATCTCGCTGAAAGTCTCATCGACACTTGAGTAAGCTTAAGAAATACTGCCGACTGCATGTTTTGATTTCCAGCGTCTAACCATACAGACCAATGTGGATCAATTGCCATCTCTGGATATCGTCGAACGACCTGCCTTGATGAGAATCAAATCAGACATATAGATTCAACTCGGAAACGGTGATCAGCCAGTGAGCGCTTGACCCTCAAGGTATTCTAAGGGGAACAGACAGAGTGTGGTTATACCATCGGGCATAGTATTAATTATCCAAGTTAATGCAGAGGTATGACAAGATATTTGATTTTCTCGTCAAGTCATTAAGTCAGCAACTAGCGCTAGACGCAAGCATGCTAGGATCATGTGATGACCCAGCTAACGACTTACCAGCACTATCTCATCATAAATCCCCACATTGGCTTTCACTGGAAGCTTTCCTCTCCTCCTACTGTTACACCCGATCACCCTGCTTCCTTGCTGCCCTGTAATATGTGCGGGACCCGGGTGTTTAAAACCGGCTTAGCAAATTCCTCCTTTCTGATTAATTATATCGCATAACATGCAGTCTGTGTTCCAAGTTGGCTTGACATAGCTACACTTTGTCGAGCATCGCTCTGAACATACCCTGGTCATTTGTCATCAATCGGAATGCCGCCCAGAAGGGGCCTCGCTAACTTGCGTTCGCATCATGGATGGCAAGTATGAGAGAATCTCCATTGACCGATTTTCCTGTTAACATAGGAAAGTACAACCTGTCGACAACGCAAGCTAAAATGCGATGAAATGAGCCCTATGTGCGGGCAGTGCGCCAAATCTAATCGCCAGTGTT